AAACCCAACCAGAGACTAAGAGAACAAGAACAAAACTTTGCCTTTGGTTCTAATTGAACTACAAGTTTGCCAGTACAGATTACGTGTTTCCTTGTCAGAGCGAGTAGCATGTCTGAGATAAACATGTACGTCAGTCAATGCAGCTGCAACATCTTTCCGCGAGTAGACGATAAGAGTCGCACGGTGTGAAAACGCTGAACACGAATCCCCAAGTTTTCTATCCACGTGTCGCCCTCTTCTTTCTCATTATAACCCAAACTTACAACATCGTCAAATTTGTAAAAATTTTAATTTTTTAATATTATTTATATTTTATAAATTTATATATTTTTTAATTTTTTAAAAAAATTTAAATAATAAATTTTTAACCACTTTAAATTTATATTTATTATTATTTATTTTTTTTATTCATTTTTTATTTTTAAAAATATTTTTTAAATTTATTACATATAAACAATAAAAAAAAATTAAAAGTTTTTATAAGTTTCACCGTGCTACACCAGCAAACGTAGGTGGGGGAGCGATATTTAAAGACACGTGGCAGCCATAAGCTGCTCCACAATTTTATTGTACGACACGTGTGTTTTTTTCCAGATAAAGACAACCCCTGTTTGCCGCCTAAAGCGAGAGACGTGGCGACACCTGTTTGGCGTCACCTTGGGAATCTGGTTTTTGACAGCACGTGGGGGGTCTGTGTAATGGGGGGATGGAAGGCTTCTCATGCCCTCCACGTGTCACCTCTGCATGACCCCCATTTTTCAATGTCCGGGGCGTTCTGGTCATTTTGGGATTCCCAAACGGAGGCTGGAAAACAAAATTGGGTTTTTATTATTGTTATTATTAATTTTCTCACCTCAGTTTTCTTTAATTATTCTTTGCATTTTCTCTCCCTAGTGGGTTTGTTCTTCTGAGTCGAGGAAGTGGAAGAAATTTTGTTGAATCTGGATTGGAAGGATTATGGGATGGGAAAGATGGGAACTTGGACCTTTTTTTGGCTGTCTTCATGGGGGCATTTGAATGTTGGAGCTGTAACAAGATTTTCTCTTTTCAATTTCATGTTTTCTGCTAGGATTCTGGTTTCTGATCCAGTTTTCTTTTCTGGGTATCGTGTAAAATTTGATTAATTTATATTGCTTTTAACTTGTTTGTGTCTTCTTCTATGGCTAAAGATGAGGAGGTTGGAAACAGATTTCCCCATGAAGATACCTCCATGCCCAATTTCCATACAGATCTGCTACAGAGGTTCATGTCTAGCAACCATTTGTCTCACAAAAGACAGCTAAAGAATGAGGAAGATGAAGAAGAGATAGAGCTTAGCTTGGGGCTTTCGTTGAATGGTCGATTTGGGGTAGACCCAAGAGCTAAGAAACTCACTAGATCATCTTCAATACCAGATTTTCTCACAAATCCTTTGAGAAAAGATTGTAATGAGAATTCTTGTGGGTTTCCTGTGGCTTGGGCACCTCTGGTGAGGACTTCCTCTTTGCCCACAGAGACAGAGGAGGAGTGGAGGAAGAGGAAGGAGTTGCAGACGCTGAGGAGAATGGAGGCAAAGAGGAAGAGATCAGAGAAGCAGAGGAATTTGAAAGCTGCTAGAAACAGGAGTAAGGGTTCTGGTGAAGAGAATTGTGAAGAAGATAAAAGGGAAGAGATTGTTAATGGAAATTCTAATGAGTTTTTGCCTTTTGGGGTGCCCTCTTGGCTTAATGGTGGCCGAGGAGTTGGTCGGATTGAAGTAAAAGGTGAAAAGACCACTGATTTACCACAAGCTGTGGCAGCACCACAGGGTTCAAATGGATCACTTGGGAGTGGTTCCTCAGGGATGTCAGAATTTGAGGGTCAATCAGTTCAAGGTATTACAATCTTTACCATTTCCCTTCTTTTCCTTTTTCTTAGTTGCTGCTTCTTAATTTGATCTCTAATTTCTGTTTTTATATTTTGGTAAATTTGTTTATGTGGATTTTGGACTGTAAGAGTGAATCGAGTTATTAGATGTTTCGTCTTGGTTGATGATATTTTGGCAAGTGGTTCTGCTGTTGCTTTTGTTATTTAATTGTGACAGTAGCTTTTTAACCATAGAAGTAGGAAAACTGGGTTTCTTTTAGCACCTTAAACAAGCGGATTCATGTCGATCTTTATTTTAGTTTCAGCCTTCCTCTATTCTTGATTGAGGCAAGATCTTTGAATATCATTTAGCTTGATAGATGGGATTAAATGGGGCCACACTGCTGCAAAGATCTTGAAACTGCTAAACCAAGGTTGTCCATCATCTGTGGAGTATCATTGTCTTAACATCATTTTAAGGGTTTAAGTAATCTGTGCCTATGTTGGCCCGACACACAGAATGCTTGTGTTTATCAGAGGACGGAAAGAGCTTTTTTTTGGCTGATAAAGTAGAAATGAAAAGAGAATAGAGATGTTTTATGTCCAAAAGAGTCATCTTGTGCGCTTTCTATATTCTTTTGGATGCTTGTTTTGTTTAGTCATTGATTATCTCATTTTACAGCTAGAGTTATATCACATTAGAATAAACCAACATTCATGAACCTCAGTCACCCCTTTCTCCTCGCCCTTTCCTTCCTGTACGAGGAAAGAGGAACAAGGAACCATAGTTGAGGAACAAAAATATTCTGAAGAGTAGAAATCAGACTTCCGTGTGCTTGTCACTCCTGCACTAGACAATAGTATGAATTTGGAACTATAGGTCAGTGTTGGCATCCAATATTAGTGTTCAAGAAAAATGTAACTTTATTTTTCTTCGCACTCATGCCATTGCAGTGAAGATTGGCAGGTTGGTGTTTAAGAACTGCATAAAACTTCATGTTGGTTTCCCATGATCAGTGTTGATGAAGTGTGTGTTGAATTTCTTGTTTTTTTCAATATCCTTTTATCTGTGAACTTTAAATTAAATTGCAGGGACAAACAAATGTCTTGATGCAAGGAGCCCTTCTAGTGTTCAATCTACAATAGAAACTGAGCAGAGAGAGAGAGTCATACAGGGTAGACTCCAGACTCAAGGATCAGGCAATTTTGCTGGAGTTGCAATTGAGACCCCTCCTGGAAATCCAGCTGTAGCTGACAAGGGAGTCAAGGAAGTGGTGAGGAACATTTTGGAAGACATGCCGTGTGTATCAACAACAGGGAATGGCCCCAACGGGAAAAGAATAGAAGGCTTCCTCTACAGATATAGAAAAGGCGAGGAAGTGAGAATTGTATGTGTTTGCCATGGCAGCTTCCTCTCCCCGGCTGAGTTTGTCAAACATGCTGGTGGTGGTGATGTAGCACACCCACTGAAGCATATAGTTGTTAACCCTTCTCCCCTTTTGTAATGCATTCAAGGGAGAGAAAATCTAGAAAGGTCAATGAATTTTTATCTTCATTAATTTCCAACGAGTCTTTTCTTTGATTCTGGAAGAGGGTACTTGTGTTTTCCTTTGAGAAATTAAACATGAAGCAATGGATGGTAATTCTTGTATCTGCCTTCTGCTTACGCTCTTAATCTGGAGAAAATATGGTGTGTGGTATCCGGAAGCTAAGATGATTCTCATGCTCAGGTCCCTGAAACTTGTAAACAACAAAAATTACAAATTAATGAATCAAGCAAGTTTTAGTACACGCACAGGTTTAGGTGTCAACAAGTTATGTCGCTTAAGAAATCATCGTCCTCCAAAAGAGAAGAGAATGCTGAATCATAATCTTTCTGATAAAATTCTTTTAAAAAATCTAATGTAAGAACATAGGTTTTCTGGCAAACAGTTGTGTGTGTTTGATATCTTGGACTAGAAGAGAAGGAAAGAAGACAACAAAGAAAAAGGAAAAATGAAAAAGCACAAGCCAAGAAGCAAGATGTCATTATCAATGTTTACTGAGAAGGGGACATGCTTTGTTCATTGTCTTGTTAGCGAAAATGCAAGTGAAAAAATGGTCAGAAAAAGAAAATTGGATATCAATATCAGCAGTGCAGTCACTTTAAGCTGGCTTATTTGAGGGAAAGACAATGTAGACCAAAGACCTTTGAACAAGTTCCATTTTTCTTTTAATTAGGAAGAATATTACTGTAGTTAAATTAGCCTCGTTGGCCCTTCATTGGCTTGTTGGTTGCAAGGAATCAGCTTTTTGACCAAAGCTGCATCTTCCATTGTATTTGCATCCAGTCAAAGACACGTTATTCATGTTAGACTAAAAGGATTCATTGGCTTTGTTATTGCAAGGAATTAGCTTTTGTTCCTTCTCTAAGAAGAGAACCTCTTTGCTCTAGTTTTCAAAGGTGTAAACCCTCGAAATGCCTCCTAACTTATTAGCTTTGAAGGAGATTACCCTTGAACTTATAAGTGCAGGATTTATAACCCTGAACTTAAAAGCATAAAAAATTATAAACTTGAACTTAAAAGTATAAAGATTTATACCCTTAGGCTAATGGAAGATGTTAAGTCTCAGTTAAAAGAAAAACTAAGTAGTTAGTCCTCAAAGTATACAAAAGCGATAAGCAAAGTCCCAATAAATTTTAATGACAATATAGCTTCATATACAAGAACTATAATAAACATTTGCAACCAAATTGAGCAAGTGGTTCATTTTGAAGAAGAAATTCTAGCTGAAATCAAAGAAAATCTTTTAATTGAGTTAAGGCAAAGAATCCAAGAAAAAGAAAGAATAAACTCAATAATACAACTATATAATAGACAAATTAGATTTAGAGAACATAGAATTAAAAAATTAAGAGAAATTGTTGAAATACTAAAATCAATATGAATAAAGAACAAATAGATTGGATTAACATGTACCTACTTAATACATTAGGTGGAAGCATGATCTATACAAAAGACATAATTATCATTGATAAAATTCTTAAGATGGAAACTATCAATGAAAATACTCTAAGAAAGAATAGAGAAATGGGAAAATCCCTTTCTCTAGAATTTGATTCTATCAAAAAAAAAAATAAATGAAGTAAAAAACTCTAGAGATCTAAAAGAAATAAAAGAAGAAATACAGTTTATCAAAGACTAAAAAACTTTGATATCTCGAGTTAAAGATATAGAACTTAAAGTAGAAGAAATTCTTAGGATATTAAAAGCGATTGTTGAAAAATTTACAATAAAAGCTTAAAAATGTATACTAGAATAATTTCACAACTAGAAAGTGATATAGATAAAATTTTTTATAAGATCTAGACACAGGTCAAAGATCTGCAAGATACTATAATATCAGTCTATAGTAAGCGTAATATTATGATAGAAATGAAGGATTTAAAATAATCCCTAAAATTTTCATTGAAAAGCCTAAATCAAAAGGAATAACACTTTTTATGCTAAAGACCTAAGAGGAAAAATTAAAAGAACTTGAACAAAAGTTTTTAGAGGAAGAAAATGTAGAAGAACTAGACAATCTATGCAAACAGATTATCTAACTACTAAACAATTAGAAAACATGAAAATGAATACTCAAAAAGAAGAAACTGAAGAAGAAAGCAAAGAAGAAAAGGATAAACACATCCTAATATAACCCCAACAGAATTTCCAATGCAACCTGGTATAGAATCTAGCATAAGCCAAAGCTGTAAAAGGAATAGGAATTTAACACATGAAGTAATTTATGATAAAAGGAGTAGAAAATTTGGAAATCAATCTAAAATTGAGACTCTAGTTAGAGTCAAAGAACAAATGATTAGTACTAATGATATTTGGTTAGATCTAGATTGCGTTACCGACTCAGAAAAGGTCATTAGTGATTGGGCTCAAGCTACTTGGATAGCCATAGCAAACAAAAACTGAAATGCTTTATAAGTAGTTAGATTTATTGAAGTCACGTTTAAATGAATAGTTCACGACTAGTTTGCCGGTCTAAAAGAAGATGAGAGATAATAAGTGGAAATCCTACTTCTGAAGAAGTAAATGAAAATGAAGCAATTCAAGACATAATAAATAAATTTGAATAAACCATAAGGGGAGAATTTTTAGGTGAAAATTGGGAAGAAAATCAAGAAAAAGAAGAGGCTAGAATTGGAAGAATAGTAGTATGGAATTTACAAAATTTAGAACTATGTAATCTTTGTGAATTAGATCAATATATTTGCCTATTCTAGAAATACTATTGTAAGGCTTCAAATCATGGAATGACTAAAGGCCCATTAGAATTGTTCTTTGGAAAAATTCCTAATCCTTGGGGAATAAAATTGGCAAAAGCCTACATAATATATGTAGAAGATAAGAAAGATACTTTAGGACTAAGGATTTGGTTCGCTAGAACCAAAATTAATGAATGGTGCGTAGAAACCTATAGTCAAAACAAACTAAGACAAAGTATGAAAAAGGGACTTTGTTGCCCTAAGAATAGTGATCCAATCAAATTAGGATGCAGTTATACCAACTACAATAAGAGAAACAAAAAATTTAGAATTAAGAGAAGTAATAAACAAAGATTTAATATGAACAAATTCTCTAGAAAGAAAAAGAGGTATTTCAAAAAGACCAAAACTCCAAGAAAATATAAAAAGAATCCTAAAAAATGCACATGTTGGTTGTGTAAGGAGGAAGGATATTATGCAAATGAATGCCCTAAAAGATACAAAAGAGAAAGTACAAAAAACCTAAAAATTTATGAAGAAGAATTAAGTAAAATAGACACTAACTCCATAAGTAGCGAAGAAAGTATATGCGAAATTGAAGGTTTATATACTTCCAGTAGTGATGAATCTTAATATTGAAAAAGGAGAAGCTTATTCTGAAGAATATGAAGGACATGGAGAATATAGTCAAATAATTGTATTTGATAAAAGTAAATATAAAAGAATTAAACAAAAGGGAATGGACCTTGCTTTAGAAAAGGGATTCAAGTCCAACTCCTTTATAAGTAATCTTTTTAAAAGGAAAGATATAGTTTATTATGGAATATTCACAAAAGAATATAGTATCCTTATAAGAAATACAACAAGGATAATAAATATACCTTTAATTATTAAGGCAGAAATAGAAAGCAAATTGTCAAAAATCAAAGAAACTGATAGATCCAAGATAGGTTTCATCCACATAGAAGGAATACAAATACTTATTAAAGCTCATTTTAGGGAAGGGATAGACACCCCTATAAAATTAGCATTAATAGACAATAGGATCAATGATAGAAAAGATGCAATCCTTGGATTAGTGCAATGTAACGTTAGTTACCAAAAACTAATGTTTATAGTATATTCGAAATATGCTGTAAACTTTAATGATAGAATTATTAATAAAACTGTAAGTTTAGCACATGAATTTGCTAGAGAAAACTTTATGAAAGATGGATCAATGCCATATAGTATTTACTATATGATAAGTTATGTATTGAACAATAGTCATTAATCTAATATTTTCAAAGATAAAGAATATATTGAACTAGATCCTATGTTCTCTGAAATAGGATAAATTCAAAAAACAGAAATGATCACTGAAATAGAACTACCCAAAGAATGGGAAATAGACATTAGTGAGAAATCGCTCTTAATAGGAGAAAGAGAAAAACCTAAATTAATGGCATTTGAGTTAGGAAAACCATTAGTGAAAACAGAACCTGAACCGAGCCATAGAAATAGTATAGACTTAGGAGCTTTATGCTATCCTAAGAAAGATAAAGAGGTCTTAACCAGAATTATTAGTATAAAGCATGAAATGGTGTTAGATACATTAAAGATTCCTTCAAGGCATTTCAAAATAAAAGGAGACTATTATGATGGGAAGGAATGACATAACATTTTTATCCTAACAAATACAGGAGCAGGACTAACACATATCCATAGTAATATGATTCCACACCTACAAAGATTTGAACTCACTAAACCATATACATATTACAACTTTAATGGTGTAGTGACCACAGTACATAAATATGCTAAAATACCCCTTCGAATAGAAGATAAAAATAAGATTCAATATGAAATTACTATAACAGCTCATGCTGAAACAAAAATGACTGCAAGTATAGAATTGATGCTAGGAAACACATTCTTAACATCAGTACAGCTCTATAACATTCAAGAACATTGTTTGAAGATTACCTTAAGTGGAAAAGAAGTAGTTATACCAAGATACTATGAAAACTAGTATCTACAGTGTATACATATCCGTTGGAATTAAGTATAAAGAATACAAAACAGAATTCTTTCATGCTTTTATAGATACAGGATTTGGGATATGCTTGGCAAAAACCAATGTATTTCCAAAATATTATTGGAAGAACACCTCTCAAATTATGAAAGGTGTAACCATAGATGGAAGTATTATTCAATATAAAACAATAATAGAAAGAGTTACTGTCATAATTGGTGGAACTGAAGTTATAATTCTCTGAGTCTACGAAAGTAACGAACATGGGAATGATGTTCTATTAGGAAACAATTTTTTAAGTCAATTCAAGCAATATATTTAAACTGCATCATAGGTAAAATTTTATACACCTTGTGGACATTGGCTTTATGCCTTTAGAATTTATAATACTTACACCAGAACTATAGAACCATTAAATTTCCACAGCCAACGTGGTGAGTATAATAGAAAAATTCGATCAAAAGAGATTAAAAAACCAATGTTAGCATTACGGAATAATGAAAAAACACAAAAAGAAATAACCCCAGAATCTATTTCAGAAGAATTAAGAAGTAATTATGGAGAAGATCCTACAAAACTATGGGGGATCGATAAAACTTATGCCACTATGAAATTGATAAAACCAAAAACTATCATTAGAGTCAAACCACTGAGGTATAGCCTTGAAGATAGAGAAGAATTTGATAAGCAAATTCAAGAGTTAATAGCCCAAAAGATTATACAAGTCTCAAAGAGTCCGCATAGTAGTCCTGCCTTTATGGTAAGAAATCATAATGAATTAAAAAGAGGAAAAGCTAGAATGGTTGTCAACTATAAACAACTTAATGGCAAAACTAAATTTGATGGTTATTTTTTACCATATAAAGAAACTCTAATCAATAGCATTAGGGGAAAGAATATGTATTCAAAGTTTGATTGTAAACAAAATTATGGCAAATTAAGCTAACTCCTGATAGTATCCCACTAACAGCCTTTAGTGCCTGTACAAGACACTATGAGTGGTTTGTAATGCTTTTTGGATTAAAAAATGAGCCTCAAATATTTCAAAGAATGATGGATAATGTATTTTCTTTCATCAAGAAATTTTGCATAGTTTATGTAGATGACATACTAATCTTCTCTGATAATAAGAAGGAACATTTGTGTCATCTTAAGAAATTTGCATATTTATATAAGAAACATGGAATATTACTCTCTAAAAAGAAAGCAGAGATAGGAAAAACCAAAATTGAATTCCTTGAATTAACAATAGATTCCACAAGAATAGAATTACAGCCTCACATTAGTGAAAAGATTTCGATGTTCCCAGATAAACTAGAATCTAAAGAACAAATTCAAAGGTTTTTAGGAATACTCAATTATGCAGAGCAGTTTATTCAAAACCTAAGTCAATTAAGACATCCTTTGCAAAAATTGCTTAGGAAAAAGGAAAATCAACAATGGGAAATTTATCACACTAATCATGTGAAAAGAATGAAAGACTATTGCAAAACCTTCCTAGGTTACAATTGCCTAAAAAAGATGAAGAGTTAATTTTGGAATGTGATGCCTCAAATTTTTATTAGGGAGCTGCTTTAAAAAATTCTGAAGAAAAAGTTTGTAGATATTCTGGTGATACATTTAAAGATGTAGAAACAAGATCTCATTCGAATCATAAAGAATTATTGGCTATTAAAAATGGAATAAAAAAGTTTAGTTTCTTTTTATTACTAAAACATTTTAAGGTTAGAATTGACAATACTCAAGTTAAGGGATTTATTTTTAATAAATTACCTTTAACACTAGAATAGAAGAGGTTAAATAGATGGCAAACTTTCTTTGCAGAATATGATTTTGAAATTGAACATGTCAAAGGAACTAATAATTGTCTTGTAGATTTCTTAAGCAGAGAAGGAGCTAATGGATGCAATCCTGAAACTCCAAAATAAAGGGAAAGACCTTATTCTCAAAGGTCAAGAGATACTCATTGATAGCAATAGCCAAATAAGAGAAGGCTAAGAAAAAATGATTGAAGGCCAAGAAATAATTGATGAAGGGCATAACCTTATGGATGAAGGCCAAGAAATAATTATTAAAGGCCATGAGCTATTAAATAAGGGACAAGATGCCCTTAAGTCAAAGAGCTGATAGAAAAATTAATTAGTTTTGGAGTAATTACTACTGTCAGAATCAGCTCTAAAGAATCTAGCCAGATGGCAAAGAAAAGCTCCCAACAAGAGTTAAAAGAAAATTTTGAACAGGTGATCCTTCAATAGGGTTACTTGGAGAAGGTTCAAGGAAGTTTGACTATTATGTCAAATACTCTCCCTCAGAAATATCAGCATCTCAAGTTGAAAAGTCTGCTATTCAAAATGTCGAAAGCCATAACTTTCGACCTAATTACTCAGGAAAGAAAGATAAGAAAGCTGCAATAATAGACACCTTGTCAAAAATGACAATGAGTGAAGAATATCTGTAGGAATACCGCAGAATTTGTAAAATCGCATATCCAATGAGGTCCACTAAGAATTGCCATCCTATCCATGAAGGGATTTATCGTAGAATTAATTTCATGTAGGGTGCAAACCGAAAAGCAATAAAAGAGTTATTCAATTATGGTTTTGTAAAGTGTATTTATCTCTCAAAGGATAATGAAGAAGTTTCAGAACTTCAAGAAGTTTCAGAACTTCCAGAAGTTATACGCCAAGTAGTAAAAGACTTCAAAACTGGCACCAAAGCTCAAGGGATAGTATTTGTCAAAATCTACTCTGCAGCACCAAAATGGGAGAAATCTCAATTTTCCCCCAGTCATCATATAGTTCAAATTGGAATCTAGTCCAAGAAAATCAAGGTAGAAGCTAATGAAGATCAAAATTTTCAAGACTTTGAAGAGTCTCTTTGTGGGGTTGAGTTCATCCAAGAGAGACGAGCTCTAGGATTCAAGGTTTTACTCCAAACCTTTGATAGAATGATAGAGATGAGGAAGACATGGACATATGGCTTCTCCAAAGAAATCTCGGTGGTATCCACTGGTGCAAGATTAATGACAAGCATCAGCCTATTCAAAATAAAGCAGAAAAGAAAGGAAATCTTTGAAAATCTGGTGCCAGCCAGTAAAGCAGTCCATAATAGACTATGCAAGCTGTTAAAGCATGACAGCCATTGTAGTTTCTGCTACAAAAAAGAATCTGCAAAAGGAAAAGATGAAGCCCCATGTGATGAAGGGACCACCTCCACAGACAATGAAGAGGATCTCATCATCCTCTGAAGACTCCAATGCAAAAAGACGTAAGCGCTTGCGTCACTAAAGAAAAAGAAGAGCGTTTGCAAGATTCCATGTAATTTGCTTTAACAAAAGTAAGAAGTAAGTTTGGATCACCATACAATAGTGTAAACTTTAATTGTCAACAATGACAAAAGAAAATATTCTAAGGAGCACTATAAAAAGCCTTCTATAAGCTGTAACAGGTATCGAGCATTTGAACACCCAAATACCTTACCTGAGTACCTTCTAGCATGCATCTGTAAAACATCTTTCAAGAGGAAAGGGAACTTTCCCTTTCTTATCTCAAAAATAAAATTATGTTTTAGAATAATCCTTATGCTTCTATCCTTCCTAATTTCCATCATAGAAAATAATGAGAAGAGTTTCTGAAGATACTTAGACAGCAGTGAGGTCACTAGTCCTGTTCAAATACTTGTGTAGCCAAAGTGTGGTTTTGAAGGTTGAACGAAGGAGCCATCAACTTGACCAAAGGCTAGACTAAGAAATTTTCAGGTATGATTCTAACTCATTCTTTTTATCATGTAGAAGCTAGGTGCGTATAGAAACATTCGTATTATTGTTTAACATAGTTATTTTTTAGATTAGAAATAATAGGGAAATAGTACCCAACCTCTTATGTTTTACATAGAAAAGTTTGTATTAAGAACTTATTTGTAATGCTTTAAGATGCTTAATTTCATTCAAGAAATAATTGTAGATAAAGTAGTTTATGAGCAGTAATGCGAATATTATAGAAATAAAATAGTGAATATTTTAGAAAAAAAATAAGTAATGTTGAAGATATAGATGATTATTATCTCTCCAAGGATCTCAAAAAGTTAAAGCAAACAGCTGCAGATTTAAATGAAGATTTAAAAAGACTTAAAAAAGCTAAATAAAGATTATCTCTACTAGCAATCTAATACATCTATTGAACTTAACATACCAGCTACACATTAGTTTGTAGTCTGAGTTAGGTTCCGAAAACCAAAAACCCAATTTTTGGTATCAAAGCCCTAAAAGAATTAAAATACAATGATGCTAAGAATGTACTTAAAAGGAGAAGTAAAGTTATGTGAACAACAAATAGATATAATCTCAAAGATTAAAAAATTAAAAGAGATGATCTCTTATAGAATTGATGAATTATCATGGGAAAGATATATTGAAGAGCAATCGCTCTAGAAGAATTAAAAACCTTACAAAAAAAAATAGTTATAAAACAAAATTAAATTTAGGGACCAAAGTGTTAATTTAACAAAAGATGAAAATTGAACTTAACAATCAATACCAAAGGAGTAAAAACCGCACCGGTCGGTACATATCGGTTTTTAAGGTTAACCGAAATGGTATAATATTAATTTTTGTTTTCGTCAAAATTCAATCATTTCAGTCAAAATTCGATGTATCAACCGAAATTTCGATGTACCAGCCGGTTCACCGAAAATTTTGGCCGGTACACACTACAAATTAAAAAAAAAAAAAAAAGGATTCCCTAGCCCAGGCTAAGGGCTTCTTAATTGCCTGCAACAGCCATTTCAGATAACGGTACACAGAAGTTTCCGTACAATCCAATTCAAATTTTAAAAGGGTAAATTTCATTTTTAGTCCTCAACTTTAATGTTATATATAATTTTTATCTTTTAACTTTTTTATGTACTTTTTTAGTCTATTTTTCATTTTTTTAATCTTTCTATCAATTATTTTATTAAATTTGTTTAAATATACACATTTTTAGTCTCTTAATTTAAAGTGGATGAGCGAAAAATATACATATATTAAAAGTTAAGAGACTAAAAATGATCATTTTAAACTTATTTTTAATTTATAAAAATATCATAGTTTTAAATATTAGTATCTCTTATATTATTTTAAAATTTGATATTTAATTTATAAAAATATATATTTATGGCGATAAATCTGAAACGGCACATGAAAAATTCCAGTATTCGGTACGTACCGTTCCAATAGCAAAATCGATACGCATACCGGTACGGTATTGACTACTTTGATTAATACCGTAAAATATTTGGTCAAAGGGCAAAAACCCTCAAACCCAATAAGTTAAAGGGTGAATAACCCTGACTTATAAATTGAAGGGCAAAATCCCTAAAATTCGAAAAGCTGAAGGGCAAAGCATAGGTATATGCCGTTTTCAAACGTGAGAGTTTGAGATACGCATCAAAGATTCTGGGCAGGGCATATACTGCAGAAAGGATTCTTATGATGAAGAAATCGAGACATCTTTTACTTTTAGAAATAAAACAGCCTGACATCTTTAGTTTCATTTTAAAAATCAATGCATGATTAGTCAGAACTGGAAAATCTGTTAAGATTTCAACCAACAGATACCATATCCAATTTTTCATTTAGTTTTTCTATCCGACATTGTCTCAGGTACCCCATATAATCCAGTCATTTGCTGTCTCTTTAGAAAATAGGAATGAAGAAGGTTGTTGGAAAGCAGCCTAACTTTAGTTTGGTGGACTGCACCAATCGTGATGGCAGTAGCATCAAAAAATAGAAAAGAATGCTATGGGGTAAATGTTATCCAGGCAGAAGCTTTGAATCAAAAGATCGTTGAATAAAACATGATACGCGTTGAAGAAACTATTCTATTGTTTTATTAAACAACCAATGAAACTCAAATGCAGTGTGTACAGCTTGGATATGGAATATCTGCATTCTTCTGCAGATTCATTAGTGAGACCCCCTACTCCAAGGAATAGCAACGAAAAATGGGGGAAAACCGTGTTACAATTTACAAGTGGGAAATAACTACAGCTTAGAAATCTAACTAAGGGATCCCGTGACAATTGACCAAGTGCGGGGCTTACTTCCTACCAGTACTATGTTAATAATCAACAGAAGCCTGGCTGGCTGCTAACATGATGGCGGTTGTAGTTGCTTGAGCCGCTTAACAACTTGCTTCATTGTAGGTCTGGTAGAAAGAGAATCAACAGTGCATACAACTGCTAGGTGTAGAACCTCTACCAAATCATCATGTGGTCCTGCATCCCATAATCCAACAGTGAAGAACTCCTTGGCCTGCCCTTGTCGCAAGAGCATGCATGCCCATTGAACAATGTTGAAACCATTTCCATATGGAGAAAAGGAGGGATCCAACGCTTTCTTATCTGAGAGCAACTCAAGGAGCACCACCCCATAACTGTAAACATCAGCCTTATCAGAAACACGGCAAGTCATTGCATATTCTGGGGCAACATATCCAAAAGTTCCAGCAACACCCGTGGTAGCATGGGTTTCTGAAGTTCCCATAAGTCTTGCCAAACCAAAATCTGATAAATAAGCATTGTAGTCATCATCCAACAGGATATTGCTGGGCTTGACATCACGATGGAGAATCCGGGGAACACATTGATCATGTAGGTAAGCAAGAGCACGTGCAATATCCAAAGCAATCTTGTGAAGCACCCTCCAATCAACAGCTCTTGTGGATCTCTCCTGAATAAATTTTTCCAAATTACCACCAGGCAGATAATTATAAATAAGGAACATCTCAGTATCACTTGAATGATAACCAATTAGGGTGACCAGATTTGGATGCCGCAACCTCCCAAGGGTTTTAATTTCTGCATCAAACTGTTGATGTCCTTGAAACCGTCCAATTGCAAGCCTTTTTATAGCCACTAAAACTCCAGGTGAGATCTCTGCTTTATAAGTTGCCCCAAAACCTCCATGTCCAATGCAGTTGCTAGCGTTGAAATTTCCTGTGGCACGTACAACATCATCAAATGTCAAAGGAGTTCCAATCTCTGTGAAAATTGTTACTTCCTTTTTGGTAGCACTGATTCTGGACTTTGGATTCCATTTCCTTGTGTAAAGAAATAATATAACAAGGGCAATAAGAACCGAGACAATTGCTGAAGCTGAAGCTATGGATGCTATCTCGATCGAATTGAAAGCACCATTTCCACTGCTTGGGACTGGATTTTCTGGTGGTGGAGCAGCAGAATCTTGTGAATCCTCTCTTGCTTGCAGATTTGAAGATGGTCCTGTCGAGGACAATGCACGGCAAGGCTGCAGATAAGGGTTTCCGACAGCACTGCTACATTTAATCAAACTATTGTTTGAAGGCAGTGCCCCAGATAAGTTATTGAAGGACACATTAAATGCTGACAGCATAGTCACATTTGCCAAACCTGAAGGAATCTGCCCTGAAAGTCTGTTATTATTAAGCAGAAGAATGGTAAGGTTTCTTAAGTTCACAAGATCTGCAGGAATTTCACCAGAGAGGGAATTTGAAGACAGGTCCAACACTTCTAGAGATGGCAACTGGCCAAAACCGGAAGGAATGGATCCAGTCAGATTATTTCCGGCCAAAGAGAGGTACTTCAGACTCTTAATCCGCCCCACGCCCTCCGGAATCTGGTCTTCCAATTGGTTCCAACTCAAATTAAGAGCAACAAGTGACACCAACTCCCCCAAACTAGGTGGAATAGGCCCAGAAATTTGATTCACAGATGCATCCAGAATTTTGAGAGATCCACATAATTTACCAATTTCAGCTGGAATCTGACCATTCATTCTGTTGTTACTGACATTAACAATCAGTGCAGCTAATCCATCACAATTCTCAAACAAACTCCCAGGAAATGGTCCAGAAAGCATGTTTTCTTCAGCAAAAAATGCATAAGAAATTTGTTTCCCCAATCTTTGAGGTGCAATTGGAATTGACAGAAGATTGCCTGTAAAGTTGTTACCTCCAAAATTATGAAACACAGCAGGAGCACCATCTCCCCCAAGAAATTGCAAAGATATTCCAACTTGAGCTTTATTTGCTAGAAATGATATATATGCAGATGATGGGCTTTGGGGTTCAAAAGAATATGACCCTGAGGGAAGACCAGGAGTGCATTGAGTATTAAAACTAGGGATTGGACCTGATAACATGTTACCACTGACATCAAACACACTCATACAAGGAACTGAAAGTTCCTGATCAAGCTTTCCAGAAAGAAGCTTATTTGAGCTCAAGTTAAGGTACCAAAGCTTCTTGCACCCAGTAAGCCCCACAGGAATGTCCCCTTTAAAAAAGTTCAGTGCCAAATTGATCATCTCCAAGTTATCACAAGCACCCCAATCACTTGGCAACGAGCCTACAAGTGTTGCTCTTGGTGCCCACAATATCCTCAGCTTTGAAAGCCTTGTTATTTCAACAGGAATCCCACCTTGGTAAAAGTTGAGATCGTCATTCACATGAGCCGATTGCTGATCTGAAGGATCCCCTGTTTGTATAGGAACATCATCATATGGGCTAAATAAGTTTGAAAGAACAAGCACAGTAAGTCCAGAACAATTTCCGAGCTCTGCAGGTATTGGACCACTGAGAGTATTCCTTGAGACGTCAAACACTTCAAGATTCTGAAGTTGGCCAAGTTCACGCGGAATACTCTCCTCCAACAAATTTGAGTACAATAACAATGACCTCAACTGACGGCAGTTCCCCAAACTCAGAGGAATCGTCCCAACAAAGTAGTTCCCAGATATATCCAAATGCTCAAGCCTGCAACTCTCTCCAATATCACTAGGCAAGGACCCACTGAGCCTAGTAAATGACAAGTAAACTCCCCTCAATCTACCAACAAACCCAGGCAAAGTTCCATTAACAGGGTTGCTCGCCAAATTAAAGATCTCCAATTTAGCAAAATCCGAAAGAGAATTTGGTATCGCCCCACTAATCCTGTTAAAACCCAGATTGAGAACCCGCAAATTCTTTAACCCAGCAACATTGGTCGGCAACGACCCAGACAGCAAATTCCCCTCCAGATCAAGAACTTCTAGCTTTTCCATGCTCCAGATTTCACCAGGAATCTCGCCATCAAAACGATTAAACGGAAGGGACAGAACCCTAAGTTCACTCAAATGTCCCAAAACAGACAACAATTTGCCATACAAACTCCCAACACTACTCCCACAGTTCCTTCTAATACCAAACCCATAAAACGGAAACAAATTAAAGTCAGAGCAAGAGAAAACATCTTGAGTACTATTTGAACTACCTTTCTCACCGCCGCGGCCCGTAATGTTGAGCGACACCACCCGCGAGCTCGAGTCGCAGAGCACACCATACCAGGTGCAATGATTCGAACTGTAACTGTCACTCCAACTAGACAGCAGACCTGAGGGATCGTCGACTGAGTTCTTGAGCTGAAGCAACACCGATTTGTCCGAATCAGCAAAGACGACGCCAAAGAAGACCCAAAAGAGCCAGAAAAAGTGCCATCTGATCACCAAGGAGGAGAAAGGAACCATCTTTGACTACCCTTTTGCAGGGTCTTGAAAAACCCTAAACCCCCTTTTTCTCTACAAGAATCCCAGAAACAAAAGAAGGACTCTTCTTGTTTCCTCGAGAAACCCTAACCCTAACCCAAATCGGGTCGTTACAGGGCTGAGAGAGACCAAGAAAGGAGAGAGACTCAAGAATGGAGACGCGTTTTCCCCTCTTTTCTTTTGTTCTTCGACTTTCTCAGTTTTCATTTTCTAAATTTTTATGAAATTAAAAAAAAAAAAAATGTTTCCAAGAAATTGCAAAAAGGGGGTCAGACCTAAAGTATATTTACTTTAAACCTCACTATATTTTGTTTATCTCAAATAAGGCACACAGAAGCATAAACTTGGATTTGTTGGATTATGCTGTCTTCTCCCTTATTTTTCTTGGAAATTTCTAATCTTTGCATTAAGTATTAATAAGT